GTCACATGAACATAAGACACTCTTTACTATACACACAAGTGAGTCATTAATATAGCTATGAGGATCCTTTAAAGATGTGTTAATTACCATTAAAATGTTTGCTTAGTACTTGCTATACTCAGTTGGTACTAAAATGTCTATTACTACAATAGTTACCTAATTGATCTGGGTGTCCCCATTTCTCTTTTATAATCTACTAGAGGCCCGATGCACAAAATTCATGCAAGAGTGGGCCTTCCTTCCCCTGGCTGCCGGCATTGGCTTCCCTCTGGCACCCAGGACCTGGGGTTCCCTTGAGCCACTGGCAGGCACCTAAGGATCCGAGCTTCCCTCACAGCCTCTGCTTTGTCTGGAAGATTGTCCATTCTAGTTAGCATATTACACCTTTATTATTATAGATTCTTCTAAAATCTATAGTGGTTATTTAACTTTTGGATGTCATGGGCATCCTGGACAATCTAATAAAAGTTATAAACTCTCTTGAAAAAAAATACAGATATGCACATTCCTCCTAATTTCTTTCAAAGATCGTAGGTTAAGTTATGACTTCCCATCACCTACAAATCAAGTCCAAACGTCACAGCCTTGCATTCAAAGTACTTCATAATGTAGTCATTGTTAATTTAATTGATCTATCTCCTATCCTTTCCAAATACACATACCAATCTGGTCTATCTCCTCACTATCCTACAATAGATATACCATCCTCTCTTTCTGGCTCCCTCTTGTTGCTTTCTGAACAACTGCTTGCTTTCAACAAATCTTTCCTGTAAACCTAAAATACCTCCCTTACCATGAAGGAACTATGCAACAAAAAACTGTCAATTGTCACATGAACATAAAACACTCTTAACAATACACACAAGTGAGTCATTAATATAGCTCTCTGCCTACAATCAGATCATCTGATCCATTGTGAATTCTGAAACAGATTACCTGTATCTCAAGGAGCTTTCCACATTCTACATTTCATCTTACAAGATCTCAAAAAAAATATATATATATATATATATATATATTTTATATATATATATGGAAATATACGACACAGTTTTGAACTATGTTTACATTTTCAAATAATATGTTCCAAATCTTTTCTTTAAACCCTCTTCATGTAAAGTGTCTCAGTTACTGGACATTTACATGTATCTTTTCTCCTTTTCTAACCAATAAGATTCTTAAGGGCAGAGATGGTTAACTACTGCAGCCTGTATCCCGTACAGTCTCCAACACAAACCAAGGGGACACTCAGTGTAGAATAGTTCTTGAATACCTGGGCATCAGTGATTTTCAGGCATTTCATAGCTTGTGTCCCCAATGATAAGACTTTTCAAAGATCATCTATTTTTTTTTTTTTTACCAAAAATCAAGTAATGTTCTATCTTTAGTAAATACTTTATCAAGTAAGAACTTACTAACTATCCAAAACAGTAGTTAAATTATTCTCATCCATCCAATATCTACTAATTGATATATGCCAACCCTGTTTTAAAAAAACAAACCCTTCAACATAACAAGAATCTTTACCTACTGACCATTAACACTACACAAGACAATGCAAGTATAAAAGCTTATCCTTTAGCACTACTGCAAATAAAGTTTACCTCCAATTATAAAACAAACTCAGAAAATAGAAACAAACATCACAGATTATATATATGCACACTATAGGCGGCAATAACACAGTATAAAAGGTAAAAACTTTTTTTTAGAAACATGATATAAAAGTTTATGACCAACTGATTCATGCTACAACATGAACCTTAAAATAATATGTTAAGTGAGATAAATCATTGACGGAAGACCAAATACTAAAGCCTCAAGTCAGTTGACATTTAGTTTCCCAGTTGTATGCTATCCCTGCTCTAAACAAAGCCCACCTACCTTTCCTATTAGGATATAATATGAATCAATGCTGATAAAAATGAAATTGGTCAACAGGTACAAATTTCCATCTATAAGTTTTGGAGGTCTAATGTACAGCATAGTGACATACTGTAATATGTCATACAGTATATAAAATTGCATACTATTATATAATATATATATTTAAATGTTAACTCCACACACAAAGAAACTGGTAATTGTGTGAGGGAACAGATTGTGTTAATCATTTCACAATACATACAAATATCAAATGGTCATGTTGTACACCTTAAACTTACATGCCAATATCTCAATAAGGCTGGAAAATAAAATTTAAAAAATTTTATGCAAAGACAAAAATCTTGAAAGTGACACCTGTTAAATAAAACCCTGTAAGTTTTACAAATTTATGCTATTTAAACACTTTGAAAAAACACCTAGGGGAAAGTTTATGTTTCTGCTACAAACAGAAAACAATTTCCATTTCATTTACAATTAAAAATTATTTTCACTTACTAACCGAAAATAGTACAGTAACTTCTTATCCCCATATTAGGTGTTGGCACAAAGTGAGGGACACTGTTTTATTCAGATTATTGATTGAATACATAAACAAACTGCTTTAATCTGATTTTATGTTTAAGCCATCTAGAAAAACCCATGCTATGTGCACAAAGGAAAACAACTCCTACTAACTATAGCTTCTGCGTATTAGACCATATTTGCAAAGCTAGAAAACAAAACACAAGGTAAATATGGAAATAACACAAAAAAGTAGATTCTACTACTTCCTATCTAAAAAAGTAGATTCTACTACTTCCTATCTCAAGTATAATGAGGATCAAGCTAAATGCTGTGTCAAGTACTTTCCAGTTTTATTTCTGTGTACTTCTCCAGATCACCTCTCCTCCAAAGAAAATAATTCATCAAGCTAAACTGCTATTCCTATAGATGGAAAATGTTAAAACAGTACTGTATTCCAACTTATTTTCACCATATATCTAAAGCTAGTAGAATATCAACATGAGTTCTGAAAGCTATTCCCCTTAGACAAAAAACAAACTCACTTCTCAAAGTCTTTCAAAAGAGACCAGATGAGCCAATTACTTAATAGTCAGAGGTAAACCTCAATTTTCAACCCCCTTTGAGCTATGCCACGTCATTAACTTGTCCAAGTGTCCTCAAGTTTACAGGTGACATTTCACACATCACCGCAACTGAGTATTAATAGGCACTACATAAAACTGCAATATCATCACAATTGCTTCATATTTGCAATACCTAAATACATAAATGCAAAGGTACAACTGGATTTTATGTCTGCCTGAAAACACAATTCTGTTTTGGTTTCAACCTGATGGTGAATAAAATGGGATGCTCTCCTACAAGTTCACCAAATTTCTAATGTATGCAACGATCCAAACTTTTTCAAAAGTGTAAGACTAGAAACAAAACAAAACAAAATTATTACCTCAACTATAACTTATGGAAGCAAAAGGTGTTATTATGATTGATAAAGATTAGGGGAGAACATCATCTTGAGTTTCACACCATCAAGACTATAAGGTGAGTTAACTGTACAGGAATTAGCAGAAATTGGTTTATGCTTTAACTGTGGTTTATCTTTTATTCTTTAACAGTGCTATCCCATAGGACTTTCTGATGATATAAATCAGAAATCCCTTATCTGTGCTGTCCAACACACAATCAATTGTCACATGTGGCTACTGAGTACTTTAAATGTGGCTAGAACTGAGGAACTCAATTTTTAAATTTTATTTTAATTCATTTAAATTTAAGTTGCCAAATGTGGCTAGTGGCTATCATATTGGACAATGCGGTTGTATGATTTGAAATACAATGTATAAACTTCACTAAACAGTAGAGTTTTTCAAAGTACCATGTCCTGATGATGTTAAAGTAAAACCTTCCACATAAGTTCAGTCATCAGCCTAAGCATAAAATAAAATTCACTATGACTGCCTACATATAAAATAAGATTCACTATGAAATAAGAATCCACAATACTACTTAGATTCAGAATTTAAAGGTACACTACTCACAAACAGGCAATATTAAAAAAAAAACAACATATGACGTTCCCCCCCGCCATTGTTTTTACAACAAGGGTAAAAACTTTTTGAATAGTTCCCCAATGCATGCAAGTTACTTTCCCTTCATATCTGTCCAATAGCTTCTGTTCAGAAAAACAAGTGGCAAAAATAAATGTGCAGCACTCATAAGCCTATAGCGGCGACTCGTTACATTTCACGTTAATTTCTCTTTTCCTTCTTAAATTTCACGTTAATTTCTCTTTTCCTTAAAGGAGAGGTGTTTGCAAAGTGCCGCATGGCCTAAAATCCAGGTTACCCATCTTTCCATGTTTTCAGGTGCACAGATCATCCTGATACACTTACAATTTCGTTGCTAGTCACAAAGTAATTTTTTTTTCTCCTTTTTTTCAGTTCAAGGGAGTCACTGCTCTTTTCGGCACTTCGGACATTCTTTTGACCAGCTCTTCCCAAATCAAAAAAAGTCGCCAAGATGGTGCACAAAAATGTCAAAAGGAAAAGCCTGGAAGGGAACTTGCACACTGAATAAGCAAAATCAACCGCCTCTGACTCGGAGACAAGTGAGCCCCGAACGATCCGGCGAGGCGATCGAGCGAGCAAGGTCGTGACCCGAGGTCACGGCCGCCGGCACCGCGCCCGCCCGGCGGCGGCTGCAGCGGCGGGAAGCCACCTGTTAGGCCCGGGCCTCACCTGGCAGGAAGGCAGGCAGGCAGGCAGGCGCACACCCGGCGGCGCAGGACGCTGACGCCCCGGCGGCGGCGGCGGCGGCGGCGGCGGCGAGCGCGGGACCCGCCCCTCCGGCGGCGGCGGCGAGCCCCCCAGCGGCACGTGGGCTTCACCCGGCCCGGGCTCCGCTGACAGGAGGATCGCCCGCGGCCCGCGGCCCCCGGCCCAGCCGCCGATCGCCCGGCCGTCGAGCCTCCCTCGCAGCCACCCCGCCGAGAGGGCGCCCCGGCGGCCGCACCGCTGGCCCGCCCGCCCCCTCCCTCTTCCTTCCTCCCCGATCGGCGCGATCCCGCCCCGCCGCCGCCCCTCACCTACCTGGTCACGGAGTTTAAGGAACGCCATGGCGATCGCCGCCGCCGCCGCCGCCACCCCAGTAGCCTCGGCTGCGCTGCCCCGCGGGGCCGGCGGGTCGGCGGCCAGCTGCGCTCCGGGGTCCGCGGGAGGGGGCGGCACCGCCTCCCGATTGCTAGCCGCCAGCCCGCCGCTACCGAGAGGTGAGGATCCCGGCCGGTCCCGCCTCCTCGGAGGAGGACTCCCCGCCCTCTTCCTTCCTTTCTTTTCTCTTTTCTCCCGGAGCTGCCCGCACACGCCGTCGCCGCCACCGCCACCACCGCCACCTCCTCACGCCCCCTTCCCGAAACACCCTGGCAGCCCCCGCGCCGCGCCGCCGCTCCAGCCCCGCGGCAGCGGCGGCATCCAAACTCCACTCCACAATATTACCACCACCGCCCGCCGCGATTGGCCGCCGCGCGGGGGAGAGGCCAGAGTAAGCCGAGTGCTGATTGGCCACGCCGCCGCCGCGCTCGCCGGGGCCCGCCCCCGCCTCCCGGAGAGGGAGCGAGGGAGGGGGAGGGGCGGAGAGGAGGAAACTGCGGGGAGTGGGCGCGGATCGCGGGCGCGGGCGCGCGCGGGGCGGGGAGGGGGCGGGAGCGGAGCCGGAGGAGGGGCGACCAGGTGCTCCTGGGCGCGCGCCCTGAGCGCGGGGGGCGGAGCCCGAGGCTGGAGGTATGGGGGTGGGGGTTACAAAAGGTGCTTGATAAACCTCCCCCCCCCCTCCCATCCCGATTGCACGTGGAGGTAGAGTGCACACGCTCCCCAAAAGCCGGGAAGGTCGAAGGTACCGGGGGAGAGGCCGGAAGGGGCGTGCGTGATGGGCACCTGGAGGCTGAGCCTTCCTGGAAGCGGAATTGGGGATAGGGGCAAAGTGGACCCTCGAGTGGAAGGGAGAGCGGGAATGCGCCCTGGGCTTGGAGAGAATGGAGGAGCCGAGGGAGTGGGGTGAGAGGTGGTCCCCGGGAGGGCAGGGCGGCGGGCAGGACCACAAGGAGCGGGGGAGGGGGAGCCTGCACTAAGCCGGATCTTGCAAGGCGTAGAAGGAATGCCTTCACCGGCACACACGCTCCTCGGATTTGGGGAGAGGGGACGCCGGGCAGCCACCTTGTGGGAGGTGGTGGATGTTGGAACGCGGGCCGGAAAGCAGCGTCTTTTGCAGCCAAACAGGTTGTAGACGCCCGAGCTTTTCTCTCTACCCGCCGTCCCAATCCGAAGCAAGGCTGCGGTTCTCTCCAAAGCCCCCCCCCCCCCCCGCCCCGCCTGCCAGGCTTGATTCTTTTCTTTCTTTCTTTCTTTCTTTCTTTCTTTCTTTCTTTCTTTCTTTCTTTCTTTCTTTCTTTCTTTCTTTCTTTCTTTCTTTCTTTCTTTCCTTCTTCCTTCCTTCCTTCCTTCCTTCCTTCCTTCCTTCCTTCCTTCCTTCCTTCCTTCCTTCCTTCCTTCCTTCCTTCCTTTCTTTTCGCATCTGAAAGGTTTTGTCTCCCACTCGAGATAAATCAAAAAGATGTGCTGGATTTCCAATCAATAGCACCGCTGGATGTACAAGAGGAATGACTCCCTCACCTGCTACACCCACGCGCACACACACACTCCACGCCACCCCATGGCTCTGCAAGGGCTTTTCTTCAGCGGCCGCACAATGTTACGGTTCCAGGCTTGTGTTGGAGAAGACTGTTGTGCGCCTGTGTCTGTCCGCCAGGGCAGCTCCAGCCCCTGGCTAATAAAAAAGGTACCGATGGTTAAGACACAAATGTGTGACGTCAAGCTCGGTTTTTAAAAGCCCCTTGTTCCCTACGTCAATTGTTTCTCTTGAGACCAGACTATTCAGAGGATCGATTTGAGTCTAATAGCAGTCATGAGAACGAGGGACCCATGCCAGGACTCTGTATATTGCAATGCTGTTTTTATAACAAAAAGTTTATCTTTTAACACATGAACAATGAAAATGTCAGGGTGCAAAATGAATCTATAGAAACAATTTCTTATCTAAAATTGCATTTCTCATCATAAATTATGTGTTCTACTTAAAATGGAGGGATTCTCATAACTGGGAGGTAGCAATCAGGATGAAGTTAAAAGAAGTAAATACTATCAATAATAATAAATATATTTAGAAATATATAAATAAATAAATATAATTGGAAAAGTGCAAGGATTCTTATAAATTTGTTTTTGAAATTATTTGTCTATGAGTAACTCATTTCATTTGGAATTTGCTTTGATTCCAGTCCCCCCAAGTCTATGCAAAACTGGGAATTCTTGAAAAGTAAGGAAATCAAGTCCACAGATTACTTTCAAATTAGTGAAATGTTGTATGAATGCTAAAGTTAACTTATGAAGTTGGAATATTACCTTTGCATGCATTTAAATAAATTATTCTTTAAAAAAAAGTCAATGTTCTTGCATCACATTATTTTGAGTAGATCTCTCTCTTCATCAATTGCAGCAGATAAAATAGGTCTGTATACTAATTGTTACTCAGCCTCTGCTTATCAGTTCACCGAGAGTAAGAGTTAATGTTGTGAAAGCATTTGAGATCTCCAAAACAAGGGTGTTAATGATAATATTACTAGAGTACTTTGTGATTATAAGTTACCTTTGTGAAAATTTCCCATGTGCCATAACCAATAGAGTTCTCTTAGTCAAAGAGTGTAAGAATTTACCTATTTTACAAATGAGCCTATTAAGCACTGTGGATGTTTGGGCAAGAATTAATACATTCCTCTCTCCCGGGTCCCACCCCCAATTATCTCTCCTTTAGATGAAAAGTTCTAGAATTTTGAAGCACAACAAAAACTTGATTAGGAACATGGAGATTAACTTTTGGGAAAACACATGTGCATTTGAGAGTATGAATTTAATTTGTGGAGTATGCATTTTACTAGATTTTATGATTGAGCTAATGAAACTTTTTAGAGAGCTGAAATTTTCTAATGAGCAATAATTATTGAAAATGATTTAGTCTGGCCGGCATGGCTCAGTGGTTGAGTGTCAACCAGGAGGTCAAGGTTCTATTCGAGGTCAGGGCACATGCCTGGGTTGCTGGCTCCATCCCTGGTGGGTGTGCAGGAGGCAACCAGTCAACGATTCTTATCATTGATGTTTCTGTCTCTCTCTACTTCTCTGAAATCAATAAAAGTATATTTTTTAAAAATGACTTCTAATGCACCATCTCTGACAACCTTGCCAATTGTATTCTCTGAGCTCTCCTGATTGAGGATACCTAATACCTAGCCAGGTTCTCACCCTTCTACACTCAACACCATTTGCATCATAAATTCACCATTTATAGAAACTAAGCTTAATGTTACCTAGACTACTCATCTCACCAAATCAAATAAGATAATACTATGAAAGGTTGTGGGAACTTTGCAGGACCGTTCAAATTTAGTATTGCAACAACTACATTTCCATAGCTGGGAAAAGGGTAAAAAACCATCTACACTAATAAAAGAAAAAAATGCCAATTGGCTGTACTTTTGCTATACCCACAGCCAATCAGAGTGAGTATGCAAATTAGCCCAACAAATATAGTGGTTAATTTGCATATGTGAAAGGAGGGAGGAGTGAAGACTGAAGTATAGAAGAAGAGGGAGGGAAAGTGGAAAGCAAAAACTGCTGCCAGAGGGAAAGCGTGGGGGCCTTGAAATCCAGAAGAGTAGCTTAGATGGTAAGAAATAGATAACTATTGATGACTTTTGAGTAAAAAAAATCCCTACATTATAAAAATTATTTTTATGAAGAGCCTGAAATACATGGAAATGCATATACTAAACTGCAAAACAGCAAGTATAAGTTCAGAAACCTAGAGGGTAGAATTAGAAGACCTGATAAACATCTAAAAGAGTTTCTGGAGGAGAGAAAATAGAGTAAAAAGAACATCCATGGAGATGGCGTGTGAGAATTTTTCAAACTTGGAAAAGAACTCGAGTTATATGATCAAACGAAGATGCTAAGGCTCAAACAGAATAAATTTTTTAATTGAAACCTGTACATCGTAGTGACATTACAAAATACCAAACACAATAAGAAAATTTTAAATTACTACTGAGAAAAGCAAATTACCCTAAGACATGACAGTCATCTTGTCAGCAGATTTATCAGCAACAGTAGGTTACAGAAGACAATGGAAAACACACCCAAAGTATTAATAGTCCATAACTGAGAAACTAAAATTCTATATCTAGTTAAACCATCTTTCAAGAGAAAGAACAAAATAAACACATTTACAAACTTTAGAACTCACAGATGCTCAGTAAAAGAAATACTAAAGAACATGCTTCAAAAAGAAGAAAAAAGCTGAACCCTCAAGGAGTAAGTGAGATTGGAGGATAAGTAAATATAATACATAAGTAAATATCTTGGTTAATGTAAGTCAGTAGTATTTTTTAAAATATATTTTTATTGACCAGAGAGGAAAAGAAGAGAAAGATAGAAACATCAATGATAAGAGAATTACTGATCAGCTGCCTCGTATACACCCTCCATGAGGATTAAGCCTGCAAACTGGGCATGGGCCCTGATTATGAATTAAAACACTACCTCCTGGTTCATAGGTTGATACTCAACCACTGAGCCATGCTAGCCAGGCAAATCAGTAGTATTTTTTAATGTGCCAGTATTCTATAATTTTAAAACCAAGTGAAATTAAAATATTAGCCATAAAAAATACAGTAGATGATGGCAGAAAGGAGCTCTGAGTTAGTGAATAGACTCCTTTTATTAAGTGAGATATTCCTTAACTTTAGATTTTTGACAAGTTATTTTATTGATTAAGGTTTGTTATTGCAAAGAACAGAATCGAAGCAAGAATTTCTTAAATTGATATTCAACAACTCCCAGAGTTATTGGAGAATTGGAAAAAAACCAGCTTGGGTTGAACTTCTAGAAACAAGTGCCCTAAGCCATGCAACAGAACATAAATGGCTGCTGCTCCCATCAAGCATCAAATGCCAGGAGCTCAGCTTTTCTTCATCCACTCCTATTGTCAACACCAATTCCAATTCTGTCAGAAACTTGACCGTGCAATCACTGCCACCTCCACAAACTGGATCTACCTGCACCAGGAAAATGGAAGCTGACTGCATAGTTTGTATTCTCTCATTTCCACAGTGCTTAATTAGCAGAGCCTTTGTCCTGGGCCTGCATCCCAGCTGCAATGAAGGCAGGAAATTAGAGTTCTGAATTCAGTTTTATACTGGGGAGGTGGAATCTATAATCAGGGAATTATCCCAACTTTAGAAGGCTCTTTAAAAGATTATTATATTAAAAAGATGAAATATTACCATTTGTGACAACATGGATGAATCTTGAGAGTATTTTTTTAAATATATTGTATTGATTTTTTACAGAGAAGAAGGAAGAGGGATAGAGAGTTAGAAACATCGATGAGAGAGAATCATAGATCAGCTGCCTCTTGCACACCCCCTACTGGGGGATGTGCCTGCAACCAAGATATGTGCCCTTTACCAGACTCGAACCTGGGACCTTTCAGTCTGCAGGCCGATGCTCTATCCACTAGACAAACCAGTTTTGGCAAGAGAGTACTATGTTAAGTGAAATAAGTCAGACAGAAGAAGGACCAAAAACATTGGATTTTACTCATGTGGAATATAAAACAAAAAATAACATGAACAAAACAAAAACAAACTCATAGATACAGACAACAGAATGGTAATTACTAGAAGGGGTGGGGAGAGGGTCAAATATATGGTAAGGGAAAGAAACCAGACTTTGAGTGGTGAGCACAAAATAGAGTACATAGATGTCCAATTACAATGTGCACTTGGAAATTATATAATGTTATTAACCAATATCACCCAATAAATTTAATTATTAAAAAAGATCTTGAATATGACATAGTTCATTACTGATATCCATGTTAAACTTTGAAGGATAGTCACCAAAATAAGAGAAATAGAATATGTAGCTTCCACAACTAAAAGTGGTGGTGGTGGTGGTAAGAGATGACCCGGCCAGTGCAGGGGGGCAGTTAGGGGCAAACAGGCCTGCACACAGAGGCAATGAGGGGTGATAAGGCTGACAAGGGGGGGCGGCAGTTAGGGGCTACTAGGCAGGCAGGTGAGCGATTAGGAGCCAGTGATCCAGGATTATGAGAGGGATGTCCAACTGCTGGTATCGGGCCTATACTGGCAGTCTGACATCCCCTGCAGGGTCCTGGATTAGAGAGGGTGCAGGCTGGGCTGAGAGGACCCCCCTTGTGCATGAATTTCATGCACTAGGCCTCTAGTACTAGGATAATGCCTCATCCTCAGAAACCATGTCAGCCAACGTCAAACTATCTTAACTTTGCTGTTTGCTTCTTTAAGGAATGAGCCTGCACCAATTATAAGGCCATTGGCTGCAAGTACCTCAGGCCTCCAGCTTTTTTTTTTTCTTTTTTTTTTTTTTTTTTTTCTGGGCATTCTACTTGTGTATGGGCTCTATTTTAGGCTGGCAGCAAATCGTGACAGCTGTACCATGCATCACATCCAAATGCCACGTTGTCCAGAGGCAGATAGGGCTGTCTCTCCCAGAGTCTCCTCAGGAGTAAGGAGAAGCCCTCTAGCCTATTGGCCAGAACTGGGCCATGTGCTAGTGTGTCAGTCAGGGTCTAGGATGGAAAACTAATGCCACTCAGATGCACATTTGGTATAAAGAACTGAACAAAGAATTGGGGGCTTCCACACCTGGGAGAGCCAATGAAGTTCAAAAACTCTACCCCTAGCCCTAGCTGGTTTGGCTCAGTGGATAGAACATCAGCCTGTGGACTGAAGGATCCTGGGTTCGATTCCCGTCAAGGGCACATGGCTGGGATGTGGGTTAATCCCCAGTAGGGGGCATGCAGGAGGCATCCAATCAATGATTCTCTCTCATCATTGATGTTTGTCTTTCTTTTCCTTCTCATTTCTTCTCTAAAATCAATTTTAAAAAATTAAAAAACAAACAAAAACTCTACCCTTGAAGATCAGAGGAGTTGACCCTCAAAGAGCTTGACCTGAAACACCTAAGTGTGTAATTCCTCAAGTTTGTGCCAAAAAGCTGCTAGGAATCTCTCAACTGCTCACCTACACAGCTATCACAGTCTCTAGGTAGGGGTGTCGAACTCAATCAGAGAAGGGGCCAAAATCTAAAATCCAGCCTAAATCGCGGGCCGAATGGTTTACTGAACAGTCATAAACTGTCATTGTGATGGAAACGCAGCGGAGTGCAGTGATGACAGCGCGGTGCGGGCCACATTGCAAGGCCTGGCGGGACGGATTTGGCCCGCGGGCCATGTGTTTGACACATGTGCTCTAGAGGAAATAACACCAGCCTCTTTGCAAATTTTGCCCTCTTGTGGGCAATAATCTGGAACAGGATGGAGACAGCGACTCCAGGAAGCACAGTCCTAGA